ATTGTACCACGCAGTGGCGATCACCCTAAGGGGTCTGAGTTAAGTGAGAGTGAGCTGGACGTAGCAGCCCGTGTGGGCTTCGCTGCGGCGACCGCAGCTGGCGACCACCCTCCAGATAATTTAGAGGCCGAGGAAGAGGCTGCCCTTTTTTTCGGGTCTTAAGTCCTCCCTCAGGTTAAAAATCCTGGAGGCCGCAGTGAGCGACGCGTCCACGAGACGTGGCCCAGGCGATCAAGGACCGTTTCCAGAGTTTTCTTGTTTCGGGATTGCCGAGTGGGTGTTGAAAAGTCGGTCGTCGTCGTCGTCGTCGTCGTCGTCGACGTCGTCGTCTTCGTCGTCGTTTCGTCGTCGTCGTCGTCGTCGTCGTCGTCGTCGTCGTCGTCGTCGTCGTCCTCGGTTCAAGAGGGCACTTGGGGCAAATTTGTGCGAAACGATCTGCGGAGGGCCGCGAGAAGGCGATCAGTCATATTCCCAATCAACTTCCCAGACAGCTCTCCTGTAACATGATGGTACTTCGAAGCCTCCGGAGACTCGCGGGCCCATGATGAACCATGTCCATGGAAGGCTTTCTGGGGACATGGTTTGTTGGGGTGTGTTGGGGGGTCTCTTGGGCGTTCCCTGGGGGCCCAACGGGGCCTCTGGGAACTCTCGGGCCCATGATGAACCATGTCTCCAGAAGGTTTTCTGGGGACGTGATTTCTTGGGGTGTGTTGGGGGGCCTCTTGGGCGTTCCCTGGGAATCCCTTGGGGCTCTCTTGGGGCTTCCTGGGGGCCTCTTGGGCGCCTCACGGGGCTTCGTGGGAGCCTCTTGGTGGCCTCTGGGGGCCTACAGGCGGCCTCTAGGGCCAGAGAGATCGAAATATCGGTTGGCGGTCCCCCTCTGGGCCCTCTCTTGGGGAGCTCTTGGGGCACAGTTGGGTTGTCTGGGGAGCCTCCTGGGCCGTCTTGGGGCCCTCTTCCGGGCCTCGCGGCCCGTCTTGGAGCGATCTGAAGGGCTTCCGAGCGAGGCCGTGAGGGAGCGCTGGGAAGCGGGGGAAGCGAGAACGCCTAAATCCTTCAAAAACCATCCGATAGTGAATCTTGCCTCCCAGGGCCCTCTTGGGGAGCCTCTTGAGTCCTTCCTGGAGCGTGTTGGAGTCCTCGTCGGCCGTCTTGAGGGCATCTTGGGCGTCTGCGGGGCCTCGTGGGACTGTCTAGGGCCCTCTCGGGACCTCCATTCGCCTGTCGTTGCCTGCTTCGGGGCGGGCCCGGGCCGCCTCGGGACCCCTCTGAGCCCTCTCTTGGCGCGCTCTTGGGGCACAGTTGGGTTGTCTGGGGAGCCTCCTGGGCCGTCTTGGGGCCCTCGTCGGGGCCTCGTGGGCCTTCTTGGAGCGATCTGAAGGGCCTCCGAGGCCGTGAGGGAGCGCTGGAAAACAGGAAAAGCGAGAACACCAAAATCCAAAACACTCGGAAAATGAGCGTATCTTGCCTTCCAAGGCCCTCTTGGGGAGCCCCTTGAGTCCTTCCTGGAGCGTGTTGGGGTCCTCGTCGGCTGTCTTTAGGGCATCTCGGGCGTCTTCGGGGCCTCGTGGGACCGGCTTGGGCCCTCTCGGGACCCCCTTAGCCTGCCGTGACCTGCTTCGGGGCGGGCTCGGCTCGCCTTGGGAGCTCTGTTTCCCCCCCCCCGCAACCCCCGGTGGGCACCGATGAGGGGAACAGGCAGCAATCCCCCCCCCCGGCGCCTACTCCGAGATAGAGAATCATGTTCCCAGGAAGATTTCCGGGAGCATGATTTGTTCGGCTCTCTAAGAGGGGGGCCTCCGGGGGCTTACCGACGAGCGCATTTTTGCATTGTCGCCAAGCCTATTGGAAACATGGTTCGGGCGGTGGGCAGAAACCCAAGGAATCATGTTCCGGAAAGCTATCTGGGAAATGCGATTTACCGAAGTGTCTTGGGGGCCCGCAAGGGGCTTCCCTGGGGGGGCCTATTGGGGCTTCCGGGGGGCCTCTTCGGAGCCTCACGGGGCTTCTTGGGAGCCTCTTGATGGCCTCCGGGGGCGTCCTAGGAGCCTCTCAGGCCGGAGACCTTGAAATGTCGCGCTCTTCGGGTCCTGTTGGGTCGCTCTTGGGGCTCTCTTGGGGCGGTCTCGAGGCCCTCTTGACTTATCTGGGGAGCCTCCTGGGCCGTCTCTGGGCTTTCTTGGGAGCCTCTTCGGCCGTCTTGGAGCGATCTGAAGGGCCTCTGACGCGGTCCGGGACCGTGGGGAGGCGGAACATGGGAGAGCGCAAGAATGCTTCAAAAACCATGGGAACATGCATGCCTCTGGAGGCGCTCTTGGGGCGTTTTGGCGGCGTCGTCGGCCGTCCTGAGGCCGTCTTCGGCGTGTCCGGGGCCTCTGGGGGCTGTCTTTGGGCGTCCTGGGAACCCGGGAATCATTTTCCCGGAAAAGCTTCCGGGAACATGATTTCGAACGAGGCCCTCTTGGGCCTCCTGGAGGCCGTCTTGGGGGCCTCCTGGGCCGGCTTTGGGGCCTCTTGGGCCGTCTTGGGAGGTTCCGTGCGCCCCACAAAACGACCCTTTTGGGCCGTCTTGTGCCCTCTTGGGTTTCTCTTGGGCTGTGTTGGGGCTCCTCAAACGCGTCTGGGGCACTGCGAAGACGAAGCAAGGGAGTATGCTGAATATGTACATTTTACTACGGGAGCGGGCTGATTTTTGCCTCTTGAAGGCCCTCTTGGGGCCCTCTTCGGCTATCTTCAAGCCATCTCGGGCCCTCTTGGGCCTCGCTGAGGCTGTCCTGGGGCCCTCTAGGGGGCCCTGGGAACCCGGAAATCATGTTCCCGGAGAAGCTTCCGGGAACATGATTTCGAACGAGGCCCTCTTGGGCCTCCCCCCTGAGGCCGTCTTGGGGGCCTCCTGGGTCGGCTTCGGGGCCTCTTGGGCCGTCTTGGGGGTTCCGCGAGCTCCACGGGGCGAACCTTTTGGGCCGTCTTATGTCCTCTTGGGTCTCTCTTGGGCTGTATTGGGTCTCCGCGGGGGCGTCTGGGGTGCCAACTGCGATGGTCGAGATGGTCAGGGGCATCTACAAGGTCCGTAAGTTTTTAGTGCAAGATGGGGGTACGACGTCTTCCAAATGGAAGCAGGCCGCTGGTATTGCGCAAGGTTGCCCGCTGTCTCCGCACTTGTTCATCATTGTCATGACCATCATATTGGAGAGTGTAGACAGACGCCTGAATTTGGAAAGGCCTGATAGACCATCAAAACCATATGTGATTACGGAAGGTGTGCTCTACGCCGACGACGCGATGCTCGTGGCCACTGACCCTAGCACGCTTCAAGCGCATCTCAATCTGGTGGCAGACATTGGGAAGCAGTACGGCTTGGAACTCAACTCAAACAAAACAGTACTACTCAGGATACGGTCTGATGGAATTATTTTTGGGCCGGATGGTAAAGCAATTGTGATCAAGGACAATGCTGTTTATCTGGGTGGCCTCGTAAGCACAGACGGCAGACCACGAGCAGAGCTTACACGGCGCCTGGGAGAAGCAAAATGCATATTTCAAAAGTTATGTACTGTTTGGAATCACGCCAATTTGACCAAAAAGCGGAAAACACAGATATTGGAATCGTGTGTCTTCTCCAAGCTGTTATATGGGCTCGAGTCGTGCATGCTCCTCAAAGCAGACAGAGATCGGATAGATGGCTTCCAAGCTAGATGTCTACGACGAATTTTGAAAATTCTTCCCGCTTGGTTGTCTCACGTGAGCAACGCTGAAGTACGTGAGCGTGCGGACGTCCCGCCTTTGACATCGATTATGTTGGAAAGACAATTGAAACTATATGGCAAACTGGCCCGGGACAGCGCCAACAGTCTACCGAGACAAATGGTGTTCGAAGCTGGTCAAACACATTCTTGTCTACCTCGAGATTGGAAGTCCCGGAGATCGAGAGGACGCCCCCGGATACAATGGACGACGTACCTACACGCTGAGGCCCTGGCAGTGGCGGGCAACGACCCTGGCACTTTACAAGCTCTGCTACGTAATCCTTCAGACTGGCACGCGGCAGTCAGGCAGCGCTGCGCCCTCTAGCTGACTGCTTGTGCCCCTAGTCTCCCTCTTCCCCCTTCCCCCCCCCTCCTCTATGGCGCCCTTCGCTTGCAGGTTCCCGAACAGCGGATCACCAAGTACAGCGACTGCTGGTGATTACACACCTGTCCCCCTGCATGGCGTATTCATTTTTGATATTTGTTCCTGCATGTGCGAGTTCGCAGTATTTCCGTGCCAATGCGCCGTCTAGGTGCGGCTTCGTGTGTGTGTGTGTGGGGCGTCTGGGGCACTGTGAAGACGAAACCAGCGAGTAATTATGCTGAAAATGTACGTTTTACCCGGGAAATGGGCCGATGTTTGCCTCTTGAAAGCCTTCTTGGGGCCCTCTTCGGCCATCTTCAAGCCATCTCAGGCCTCGCTGGGGCTGTCATGTGGGCCTCTTGGGCGTCCTCGGAGCCCGGAAGTCATGTTCCCGGAGAGGCTTCCGGGAACATGATGTCGAACGGGGCGCGCTTGGGCCTCCTTGCGGCCGTCTTAGGGGCCTCCCGGGCTCTTGGGCCGTCTTGGGAGGTTCCGTGAGCCCCGCGGGACGGACCTTTTGGGCCGTCTTGTGCCCTCTTGGGTCTCTCTTGGGCTGTGTTGGGGCTCCGCGGGGGCGTTTGGGGCACCGTGAAGACGAAGCAAACGAGCATGCCGAAAATGCACGTTTTACCAGGGAAGTGGGCCGATGTTTGCCTCTTGAAGGCCTTCTTGAGGCCCTCTTCGGCCATCATCAAGCCATGTCGGGCCCTCCTGGGGCCTCGCTGAGGCTGTCCTTGCTCTGGGATGCCAGTGCAAGCGACGTCTGATCTCCCTCCTCCACTCTCTCTTGTACTCGGCTCTTGGAACCAAGGGCGTTTTAGCTTCCTCTTTGCTTCTGCTGCTGCAAACCGCGTGTGGCGTTTAGGCATGCGCGTGGGAGAAGGATATGTTGCGTTTCTCGGCGAACACCTGTGCGTCTTCAGCCAAAATGGGCACGGACTTTGCGTGACCCATTCGCTCTCTCATTGCTGTGCTACTCACTCCCCTTGAATTCCCGGGCGGGCGGCAGGCCGACCGGAAAAGGGGCTCAAACTTGCACCGACAGATTTTGTGCAATCAGCTCTGTCGCACCCTTCTTCGGTGCGGTCGGCGCCGTCGGCAGCAAGCCGACCGGAAAAATGTCTCAAATTTGAACCGACTGATTTCGGACAAACTGTTAGGGGTCCGCAAATCAAACAGCGCAGCAACTTACAACCAGAAGGCCTCCTGAGGCCTTCGGAGAAAATGAATCGCATGAGCTGTGTTGCTATGCAAGAAGTCTGCGTGGCAATCTAAACGGTCGCCTACCGTTGCTTCTGTCCCGGCCGCGTGGCCGATGCTATGGCTACACAACACTCGGATCACCACTGGAATCATACTGATGCTATCGTATGCTTCACCCCTACGTAACCTCCTTATCGCCCGTCAGAAGTGTGATATCGATTATACATGTACTGTGGCACTACATTCACATAGGCATCCCCCTCGATCTCACGCAAGCCATCGGTACTCTTCGTCCTCCAGCCGGCACGTGGCCATGCGCGGCTGGTCTGACCCATCCTCCATCTTCAACACCACGGCTCCTGTGGCGTTCTGCTGCACGACCTTCGCGGGCACCCACTCGGACCCCCGGCGGAGTTCCAGCCTCAGGGGGCCGCGGGGCACGGGCTCCTCTAGCTCGTGCATGTCGTGCTTGATGAGCCTCGAAACAGCTACCGGCTGCGCGAAGCCTAACTCACGGCTGTGTCAGGATCCTTCAAGATGACCGCCTGGGCAGAGACGAACTTGTCCACCTCGAGCAGCTGTGGGCGCGCTCGTGGTCGGAGCCTCCTCGAAACTCCTTCGTCTCCTAGCTTCTCTGGCGGCATCCGTAAGAAGACCTTGTCGCCGACCTTCAAGGCAACGTTCGGTCCGGCGGAGCGCTCTGCCCTCGCCAGCCGGACATCGATCTCCGCCTCCAGGTGCTCACGGACCTTGTTGTGGATGGTCTCCAGGCTCTTGTGGAGGTCCGCCACGCAGCTTCCAGGATCCATGAACCTAGTGCCCCGGCGCTTCTCGAAAAACTTCTGGATGGGGCCCTGCGGCCGCATGCCGGTCGCCAGCTCGCACGGCGAGCAACCAGCACGGTCTGCGCGAGGCGTGCTCCTCATCGCCCATTTGGCGAGTTTGATCCACCTGGACCAGCCTTGGGGACGATCCTTACAGTATGCACTGAGAACGTGGTTGATGGGTTTATGTCGTGCTTCCAAATACCCCTGGCTTTGAGGATGATAAGACGAACCGAAAGCTTGTACTACCCCAAAGTATTAGTTAACAGACCTTACCAAAGCACTAGTGAAGGCACTACCACGATCAGACCTGGGTACTGCAGGACATGTCGAAAAAAGACGCCCTCGACCAAGAAACGCGTCCACTCCTCAGCACCATCGCGCGGCGAAGCACGGATCCAGCACCATCCTGAGAAAGGGCCTTCGGCATGGAAGATCCACTCGTTCTCCTCGGAGGAAGGAGAGATGGGGCCGACGACGTCGATGAATAAGACACGAAACGGGCGATCATGAAGCACTGTCCTCTGCTCTGGGGTCAGCCCGGGCTGGGGCTAGGTCAACCTACACGCAGAACAACTACTTACCCATGAGTGCACGTCACGTTCGAGTCGGCCACCATGCGAGCTGCTCCAACTTCGCCTTGGTGTCGCGGATGCTGGAATGGGCGCCTACGAACTCGCCGTCATGGCACATCAACAGCATCTACTTCCGGAGCGTGAACTTGTAGTGGCGGCCCTTGTGCACGAACGCCCGCGCGGCTCCGGAAGGCGCAACAACGCGCTCCACGAACGAATTCGCCACCTTATCGTGCACCTTCCGGTGACGAACCCCGTCGTGCAACGCGTAGCGCTGCATCTGGTTCACGGCCGCGTCCGCGCGCTTCGCGCGGTTACGTCCGTCAGTGGACGGAACGAGGGTTCTGAGTTTCTCAAAGATGTGGTCGTTCGTCGCGCCGTCGCCCTCGCCCTTGGCCACGTGCTCCAGCGTCTCCAACGCCAGGAATATGTCCGAGAACTCAGGGTCCTTCCGTTGAAGTTGCCTCAGCTGGTCCCTCTCGAAGTCCATCGGGCTGGCTGTGGCCGGCACGTCGTCGCCATGCGCGGCCTTGGCTGGCACGTCGCCACGCGCAGCCTGGGCGAGCTTTCGCCCGTGCCGGAGTTGCTCCAAAACCCAGCGCCCAGTGGCGGCCCATGAACGTGTCGACGAACTCACGAAGAGGACCCGTTGCCCTGCAGACGCCAGCTCCTCCGTGCACGCGCGCGCGGCCGCCGCGGCAGTTCCGGAGGTGATGGCGCCGTTGTTCTGAAGCTCCGCGACGGCGCCCTCGACTCGACGTACTTGACAGCCAGCTCCCGCGGGTGGATGGCAGACAGGCCTGTCTTACCGCTTCCCTCCAATCGCTCTGGATGAGGAAGGGGGTGCGTGCAGACGCCTGCACGCGTAGTCGCAATGCCGGCGCAAATGGTCAACCATGCGCGTGCCTTCTGGTAAAGCGTGCCGGCGACCGTGCAATCGTCCTCGCGGAAGGCCTGAACGCCTGGCATACCCAATAATCCCAAAATCTCGTGTAGAAGATAAAGGTGTGAGAGAAGAGGATTTTCGATGGTTACCATGGCGCCGGCCGCCAGCAGCACGAGGATCCTCCTGGACATAAGCAAGGCCAGAGAATTGTAGTATGCCGTCTCCTCGTCGCCCTCGTCGACGCTGTAAAGCTTCTCAGCTGCGCGGAGTCGCGGTGTTGTCCGCGCGACCGACATGCGGTGGCAAAGGAAAGCAGAATAGTATGCTGCTGCTGGGCTGGCGCGCTCGTTTTCCGAGTAAGCCGCGTCCGTGGCGAAGTTGCGGTCGGGGTCGACGCGGCTGTCGTAGCGCTCGGCGGTGCGCCCGGCCGCCTCCCAAGCGTCGGAAAAGCGGCCGACTCCTTCATCTGGCCTGCCGGAGAACGCCTCCACGAGCCGGAGTCCGCGGAGGGGGGCACCATCAAAGCACTCCGGCCGCTCTCGTGGAGGAAGGGGGGGGGCATGGCCGCCACGCGATTATTGTGTGAAACGTTGTTGCTTGTTTCTCCTGCCACCGACGCTTTGTTTTTCTCCAACTTTGCAATGCGCTGTCTGGGCATGGCGGTCTTGCACGAAGAACTGGCTTCGACAGCGGGCGGCCGCGCCCCCTGCAAACGCCAAGCCATTGCCGAAGCTGGTGAACGCAATTCAGATAGGAGAGCGCATGCTAAATCGTACCCGTTTACCAATCTCACCACATGGCCAAACGTTACCTCGGAACGCGTTGGCTCCAGCGCCGTTGCGGCCCCTCGCCGCCGACGAGGCGCGGGGGAAACCTCGACGCGCGGGGAGCAGCGGCAACTGCGCCCTGGCTGACGTCGCAAATGATAACCCTGACCTCGCAGGCGGAGGTCGGGCCGCCGATGCGTGGTAAGCTGTGCGTGTTGCTGGCCGCCGCCATCCTCGCAGTGGCGCAGCCGATGTCGTTCTCATCGTTGGCGATCCCCCCACTGAGCGCCAAGCGCTTCAGCGGCGACGAGGAGGTGATGCCGCGGGGTTGGCAGAGGTGGGGCCACATTCTCGAGCATGTGAGGCAGTGCGAAATGTCGCCAAAATTGTTCGAGCGCGCGTCGTCGCTCGGGCAGCCAGTGCTGCGTGGAGACGCGAGGGGCTTGATGCGCATGAGGTAACTTGCCGTCCACGCTCTTGTCGGGGTTTCCAGCGTAGGCCAGAGCTTTGACAGTGGCGCTCTCGACAAGTGACCGCGAAATATATTCCATCCGGCAGTAACTGAGGGAGGCCGATCTTGCACGCCCATCATGCCGTCGTGGCACTTTTCGACGATGTCGGGCTCTATCTTGGGAAAATCCCAGGAGCAAGAAGTTCGGCCGTGGTCCGTCTGCGGGGCCGATGCTCAGCATGTTCAACTTTGCGTTGTCGTCGGGCAGCGACAGAGATGTGGGGCGAGGCACATTGCGTTCCGACGGTGTCTTCCATCCGCGAATTCACGGTGCTGCGCTGCCCGGGATCCCGACGGCCACAATATATGATGTTGAGCTGGGGCCGACGTAGAACAACCGTGAAGTATGGAACACGAAATCTCATCCATTCTTGTGGATTGCCGGTCGCGGCCGGTGTCCACGAAAATGCTAGAAAACCATGCTGCCGCCCAAACGTTCGCACGCTCGCTCGTGCATATGACGGTTTGTCCGGAACGCAGTTGGGCAGCGCCCAGTGGCCTGGACAGGCGGCGCAATGGTAGCATTGACGTTGGTACCCGCACTGCGGACGTTCACTTAATCGTCCGCGATGCTCTTGTCGTAGTCCCGCAAATAACAGCCGCTGTGCCTGTCGTGCGCCAGGGCGGTGGTGAGCAGAACTGCCGCGGCTGCGACAGTGGATCAACGATGGGTGGAACGGGATGCCGGTTGATGGAGAAAAGGGGGCTTTCTTTCTCCACGATTTCAATAGAACAAGCGGCTGCGTCAACCGATGCTGGCAGATATGGCGGCGCAGCCTCGGGCCGAAACAAAAGCTGAAACAGGCGAACATATGTCCCCCCTGGGGCATACCTTCAAAGCCAAAATGCATCCAAGACAACCGAAGGGGCTCCGAAGAAACCCCGAGAGCGCTCCAAGAGGACCAGGATTACCACGAGTGCATTTTCAAGCTTCCGACGCTCTAAGACGACCCCAAGGCCCCCCAAGGCAGCCCCCAAACAGTCCAAGAGACCTCCCAAGAGGGTCTTTAGTCGGCCCAAGAGAGCGCCCAAACGGCCCAAGAGGCGCCCAAATCAGCCCAAGAGAGCCCAAGGACGGCACCACGAGGGAAAACACGAACCAACAGTTCCAGCCCTCCACCCGTGCAGTTCCCCAGGAGACCCCAAGAGGCCTCCAAGGAACCCTAATTCCCTACTGCGGCAAGCTTTTCCCTTCGAGAACACAAACATGCAATCAACAACTTCAGCGTTCCCTTAGCCCTGTGGCATGCTAAAAACGAATATCGGCGCGCCGTCGTGCTGAAGTGTCGACATCCCGCTGCGAAGCGCCAGGTCAACCCAACGGCGCGCCGCACATCTGACGACGCTTCCCAGACTCCCTGTTACCCCGTGCTCTCCTTGGACCGCCGCTCCAGCTTCTGTGCCCCGTGCTCCCAGAGCGCTAACCAGCAAGTGCCCTCTCTTGTTGCTGTGTGCTCGTCGTCCTTGTTCGTTCCTTCTCTCTCCAACTCCTTTCTCCCCGAAGCGCGGGGGAGGAATTGGGAGAACGGGGAACTGACAAGGGAGGGGGGGGGGGGGGGGAACTGCGGAGGGAAGGCGGGGGGCGGGAGGACAGGAGAGGGACAAGAAATGAGACGCAGGAGGGACGAAAGAAGAAGAGAGCGTGAGAGAGTAGGGGAAGTGAATCAAGAAACGATTATGAAGGAGGGAGACAGAAGGAGCGCGAGATGAGAGGGAGAGAGAGAGAGAGAGAGAAGGATGAAGAGAGAGAGAGAGAAAAACAAACACAACAACAAACAACAAAGAGAGAGAGAGAGAGAGATAACGAGAGAGAGAGAGAGAGAGCGAGAGAGAGGTACTTATATATATATATATATATATATATTTCTATATAATGATAAAGGACGAGGGGTGGCGACGCACGGAGATAGCGAAACAACGAGGAGAGAGAGGGAGAGAGAGAGAGAGAAAAGGGATGAGGATGAGGAGCAACACGAAGAGGAAGAGGAGCAAAACGCAGAGCAGGATGTAGGAATGAAGTTGAGGAAGGAGGAGGGGGAGGGCAAACAGATGAGGGAGAGGATACGTAAGCAATAGTGGTCCAAGCGCCTGCGTGGAAGATCGGTCGGAAAAACTATTTCGAGGATTCAACTGTATAAGACAAACCTCAGTTGATGCATTGCAAGAGGGAGGGGGAAGGAGGGGGGGAATGACGGGGAGGAACCAGAGGGAGGAATGCAGGGAAAAGTTGGTGGTCGAGGGAGGCTATGCCCGTCCATCGATCGCCAATTGCATCGTGTGCGCATGTTGTCACTTGCTATGTAGGCCTCATACATGAGCGATTTGCTCATGCGTTCGTATCCTGATGAGGTCCTCTCAATCACATGGCTTACTCCACCGCTTCTGCCGGGCTGCCATAAACCCAGAATCCCCGTAACGGCGCACAAGGCTCGAGCACGTTAGACCTATACTGGACTAAAGCCCGCCGTGGGGGACATTTTTGCTTTGGGGGGGGGCAGGTCTCTTGGCGGGCCACTAATATGGGCACCCGGGTCTCGTCGTTGCGCTTTCACTGCTCCGCGCAGGGCTCTGGGACATGTCCGGTAGCTGCGCCTTGCAGGGGCCTCCCCACGCCGCTGCTGCACTCACCGCAGGCAGGATGACTTGCCGGAGAAACAATCCATGCCAGGACTGCCAAGAGGAATCTGGAAACACACATGGCCGACTTCACATGTGGGACATCTGGAGGCCACGCACTGGATACACAGACGGAAGCCTGCCGATCCTGCCGTTGAATGGCCGAGCGCTGGAAAAATAACTGGGCTCACCTATATACGTATACATATATTTATGCATATATATATATACACATGCAGATATGTAGAAACAACATACGTATATAATCTCTCGCCAAGGCCAGCCTCATCATGTGTATCCAGCTTCCTGGCTGGTAGAAGCGAGGATACTATTTTCCACGGAAATGTGGCAACCTCTGGGTGACGGCACAGGGTTTGGTGAACGTGACCTGGGGGCGCCGTGTATCCCAGACGAACGGTGATTGCCCCGCGGCGAGTGCCGCACGCGACGATGATAAACTCATGTGTGCGTTGTCGTGTCCAAACAATTCCCCCCAAGAGATCGTCAATCTGCAGCCTGCCGAACTCTCACGTGCACCTACTGGAAGGGCAGCTGTTCGCTGGCGGCGGCTGCGCAGCAGACATAGCGAAGGTGCGCAAGTTGCGCGGAGCCCGTTTCACAGTTTGCCGATCGAGACCAGGGTACTTATTGCGGATCGAGTCTGGGAAACGTTCGGCTACATGTTTCGCCCCTCAGGTCTCTTCGCAGCTCGTGCCCGCACTTCAGCACCGAACGAGCATCGTCGAGGGGGCCAGAATGCAGAGGAAAGCTGCACTGCACTACCACTCTCCGCTCTGTGTCCAGTCCCACCAGCGAAGCTCATTCGCTCGTTCGTCCACTTTCGCGTCGCCACGGCGTGCACTTTTCCACCAATCGCGTTTGCCTGGCCCATCGAGACACCAGCCCGGGGGACTCAGAGGGTGAACGCGTCGAAGTTAGCATCGTCTTCCGACGCGTCCGAGGGACGGGCAGTCACTTGCACCGACGTCTGCATGAAGCCGACCAAATCGATATCGAAGGACCCCCCTATCTCCTCGTCCACCGAGTGGTCCGCCCGACACTCCTTGCGCACGCCTGCCACCTGTCGCGCGCATCGTTCATTCAACATTTGAGCGGGCACATCGGCTCTCTCCTCAATCAGCGGACGAAGAACGGTGAAAAACAACTGTTTCGCCGTGGGGGACGCCTGCCCCAAGACGGCTGGAAAGTTTACGCCCCGACGTGCCACCGTAATTCGGCGCCCAGCCGCCCTTGGGCAGGTGTCCCCGACGGTGGAAACAAAAACACATGAGCACACAACTGTTTGTCCCCTGGATCATGCTCCGACACCCCAGGGCGGAGTTGGAGCAGAGAGAAGGCGGAGAGGAGGCGTGCACGAGGGGAGGGGGGGCCAGATCTGCGTTGCCCTGATTTTTCAGTGCGGTGTCCTCCGAAACCCCGACCCAGTCTCCGGGGCTGGAATTTCACCCCGAATCGGTTTTGACAGTCCCAGGGCCCGGCGAGGACCCCCGTATGCTGAAAATGGCCAACAACAAGGATGCCGGAGCCGCCCTGCCTGGGCTTCGGCCATCCGCGCGGAGCCCATCGGGGGGGCCATGGAAGCCCTCGCGCTCTCCAGCCCCCCCAGGCGCCGCCGGAGTCCGAGGGACTGGTCTCGGCGGCTCGCGCCGAGGCGGGTCATGTCTGGGGGCTGCTGCCCCCCTGGGCCCCCCGCCGCGCTGGCACAGTGGGCACCCGCCCCGCCGCCTGGTTCCCCGTGGAAACGACCGCGGAGGTCTGCACGAAGCTCATGTCGTCCTGGTCCGGGTGCCAGGGAGGAGGAGGAGGAGGAGGAGGAGGAGGAGGAGGAGGAGGAGGAGGAGGGAGGAGGAGGAGGAGGAGGAGGAGGAGGAGGAGGAGGAGGAGGAGGAGGAGGAGGAGGGAGGAGGAGGAGGAGGAGGAGGAGGAGAAGGAGGGAGGCCCAGCGTCGGAATGAGTTCTTCAGCCACACCTACACCTGCTGCACCCTCAAGCTTCTAGCGATCGAGCGCCACCCTCCCATGGGGGTGTCAGTCGCCATCTGTGCCGCTTTGGCAAAGTCTCTCGCCTGATCGACGGACGGACACCAGTTCCCTCTACTCCTCCTTGCTTTGTGAAGGAGGCGGTGGAGGTGAAAGGGAATCACGAGCTGTCGGAGTCGCAAGAGAGAGGGATCAAGGATGACCAATCGTCGGGGGAGGGACGGGTCCACCTCGGACCCCGACACGGAACGGACGAGGAGAAGAAATCCAGGGCAACGCACATAGTGGGCGAGGGAGTCAGGGCACTCGCATCCCATAAGACAAGACAAGTCGGGGTTGCGCATGCGGGTGTCCGTGACCCACCCCCCTGTCCACGTCTTGATGGCAGCCATTCTCCAGGACGGGGGGGAACGACGCAGAAGACCCGCCAGCCCGTCCCAGTCCACCCCGCGACAGACGTCCTCCCCGACCTGGAACCATCGCTGGAGACGCTGGGCAATGAGAGGGATGAGCGAAGAGTCAGAGGGGTAAAGGATGGGGGCGATGCCCTCCTGGAGGCACCTCTGAGTCTTTACGGGCAGCGTAGGCCTGCCAGCCGCCAAGGCCTCCTGCTGTGCCGACAGGCGATCTCGCAAGAGAGCGAGGCCCGCGCGGGCAGGGGCGGCGAGGGGGCCGAGCTCGTCCGCATCCTCCGCCGCGCTGCGGAGGTTCCAGGCCAGCGGGGGCTCTATCCAGAAGCTCGGCCACGGAGTGTGCCCGTGCCCTCGCCCCACCCATTGCACCAGCGGGAGGTGTTCCTCCGCCTCAGCTTGAAGCCTCGGACAGAGCGACCTCCAGACCGTTGTCGTCTCGAGGGCGGTTCGCGCGCGGGCTGCGAAGGCGACGACGCGGAGCGGGGGGGGCGGGGGTCCGCCGAAGGAGTGGAGGTCGAAGAAGCAGCGAAGAGGGAGCCACGAGCCAGGCGCACGGAAGAGCCGAGTGAGGTGGCGTCGCTCATCCGCCACCTCATCTTTCGGAAGTTCGAAGAGTTGTGACTTGTACTGAAGGACGCTCACAGCTCTCTTTTCTCTCTCTCTGTACATGACGCCACACGCCGCCGCATCAGCACCCGTGCTCACAATCGCTCGTGTGCGGTCTCTGTACTTCTGCACAACTGGCGCCCACTGCGTGTGCATCGTGGCGGAAGGGCCGAGAACGCATCCCAGGTAGTCTAATTCCGACACAACCTTAAATTGCTGCCACTCGTTAGAGGTTTCCTGCAGGAGCAACTGTGATTCTTGATGGCTGGCGAGAACGGTGCCCAGAGAGGAACGCAAAAGCATTTGCTGGGGCGAAGATGCAGATTTGCGATCTTGCCCGAGACAGAGAAGACGCGGCGCAGAGCTTTGCGGCCAGGGGCTCCCCACGTCACAGCACCACAGTCGTCAGCGCACCATCTGGCGAGCCCCTTGCCCATGCTCTCGCCGTCCGAGAGGGCCGAGTCTTGATCACGCACAAAGGGGTCGACTCCGAGAGCAAACATGCTGCCAGAGGGAGGGTCGCCGTGCATCACTCCCCCACGCGCATGATGCAGTGGGACCCGAGCAGAGCAGGCACTGAAAGTGGTAGCATTCACATGAGTTCCCTGCAGCGCCTCGAGAAAACCCACAGGGGCCCTCCAGGCCTCGAGAGTCCTCCACATCCAGGAATGATCCAGGGAAGGAAAAGCCTGGCCATAATCGAAGGCAAGAAGCATGGGCGACGAAGACTCGGGGGGGCACCCCTCGGGGTCGGTCGCTCGCATCCTCGCGATGCGGGCCCAGGCATCGAGCTCAACCAGGTTTGACAAAAAGTTTCTCCCGCGGACAAAGCCTCTCTGAGAGGCCGAAACAGACTGCTTGATACCACGGGCAAAACTAAAATTGAAGGCACTCGAAATCGCTTTTGGCCCCGTTGATTTCAGAGAGAGAGGACGGGTCGCACTCGGAGGACACGAGTGGGGGGAACCATCAGACGGGGCCTGCGATTTCGGGATGAACACTCCAATGGCGCAGTTGCAATCGGATCTCATCGGGTATCCCGAGCGTAGCCAGACTGACGCACGATAGAGAATCTCTACTCCCTGCTTCGTCGCTCCCCACGCCGCAGCGGGGAGGCCGTCGGGGCCAGGCGCCGCAGGCCTAGCGCGGGCCACCGCCTGGCGCAGAGCCTCAGGGCCAGGCGGAGGGAGCGCATCCCACTCGGGGGCCGGCGTGGCGAAGCGCTCGAGGTACAGCTTCTGCATCCTCGCTTTCCTCATCTCGGAGGCTGCGTCCTTGGGCGGGTCGAAGACAGGCTTCCAGTGCGCCGCCAGCGCCTCAGCCACGCCCTCTTGCGTGGTCACCGCGCCCTGGGGGAGGCCCACCGCGGCCCTCCCCGAGGGGCCCAAAGTTGTGCGCGCCGCTGGAGAGCACGAACTTGCGCGATCAAGCGCTTGCGCAGCTCCTCAGCCGACTCCGCCTCCGCCTCCTCCTGAGCCTCACGCCTGCGTGCAGCCGCCTCCCGTCGCTGGGCCAACGTGTAGCGGCGCTCGAACTCGGCGGGGTCCTTGAGCGTCACCTGATGCGGCTGGCCCAGCGGCCCCAGTTCGACCACGTCATACGCCCAGGGGTTCTGCGCCATCACCACCCTCGCCAGTGCAGCGTCCTGGCGCCAGAACGCACGGGCCAGTTGCCTCCAGATCATGGCGTCGGGGCCCTTCGCGCCGCCGTTCGTCGCCAGCAACTCGGTCTGCAGGAGCTTGGCCGCCGCCTGGAGGGACGTGACATACGCTGCGTACGCGTCGGGGGGGCCAGCTTGTCCCAACTCACCTCCGCACAGTAGAGCTCCACGATCTCGCGGAAGCGCGGCACCATGACCAACCTTCTCGGGATGGGGGCGGGGCCCAGAGAGCGGGGCCGCAGCGCCCTCGGCGCAACCGACGCGATGGCCATCGCGTGGTCGCTCACCTCATTGATGTGCAGCTCCCTTGGCTCTCCGCACACCGCAGCAGATTGCCAGAGCTGGCAGAGGGCCCAGCGGGGAACGCTCACCGTGAATTTGTCAATCCTGGAAGCATGACGCAGACCTTGATGCCAGTGCGTCGATCGGGCAGGAGCAAGGTCCACCGCCAAGCGCGTCGCCTCCTCCCAGGCACGCCGGGCGTGCGCCCTCGGCCCAGACGGTGCTTGCCCAGGGGGCTGTGCGCTGAACACCTCCTGCTCCATGACGTCGCCGTAGTTGAAGTCGCCCACCACCACCGCGGCGCGGGCAGCAGGGTCGGCGCGTGCCCAGGCGAGGTCAGCTTGAATATGTTGAAGAAGACGAGAGCGCACGCCCGCTGTGAAGCCGTGGTTGTGCACGTTCCAGTGGCGGAGCTCAGCGCCTGACTTGAGGGCCGACACCTTGAGGGCGCGGCCAGGGACAGCGTCGAACGGGATGAATGTGATGCGGTCGCCACTCGTCTGCGCAGGGAAAACAGCGGCTACCCCACCCGCATCAGAAAGAGCTCCGATTGGTGATGAAGCAAAGCAAACAAAATTTCGGGCCGTACGACCAAGCAGCTGCTGCATGGTCTCCACCCCCGCGTGCGTCTCCTGCATCCCAAGTACGACTGGCCCCCGCCAGTGCGTCTGCAGGTAGCGCAACTTCTTCTTGATGAGCCTCGGCTGGTAGCTGGCGAAGGCCCTGGTGTTCCACGACGCGAACTGGGCCACCCCGTCCGCCGCTCCCCAGCATCGAGCCATCCTGCTGAAGACACCACTCCTGCGCCTCGGGTTGCAGCACGCGCTCCGCCGCCTCCGCCAGCGCGACCTTGTCGAGATTGAACTTCCTGATGCGCGCCATGTCCCATAGCACCTGGGGGCATGCCGAGGGGGACTCGATCTGCACCCGCAGCAGTTGCGTCCATTGCAGCGACAGCGCCGCCGCGTCCTTCTCCATGAAGAGCTTGTGCGGGAGCAGACCTTCGATCCCTTGCTTGACCCTTTTGAGGGCCAGCTCGTGACTGACTTGACGACGGTTCCGATCCTTTCCCAGATTGAGGAGGACCTGCGCGCCCGTCGGGGCCGCCGCATGGATCTCCCGCCATTGGCCCTGCCCCACGCGCATGAGCTGCAGCAACTTGTCGACCCGACGGGCCGCCAGAGCTGCCGCGCCCTTGCATCGGAGGGGGAAGCGCTGCGAGACCGCGTCGCCCTCCAGCACCACGTGGTCGTTGAGCTGTGCCTCTGCCACCAGCGGGGCCAGAGCTTGCTCCACAGCAGGCTTGGAGAGCGCGGTCTTGGCGAAGACCGCGACGACCGCGGCGTCCGTCGCCCTGTCCCGGTTGCCGCCCGAAAGCTCCGCAGGGACGCCCGCGTTGAGCACCGCCAACTCCTCCTTGAGCTTCTGGATCTCTCTCTGCATTTGGTCGACCTGCACCATCTTCTCCTCCATGGGGGCGATGCGGTCCTCCGTCGCCTGGAAGCGGCCGTCGTTCTGCTGGGCCATCTCGACGAGCGCCGTCTGGAAGGCCTTCGACATGCTCGAGCTCGCAGACGCCACAGCCGCCTGCAGAGAGGCCTGTAGGCGCGCCTCCATGCTTTGCAGGCTGGCCTCCACCGATGATGGAGCACCCCCGTGAGCGCGAGCCGCATTCGAGGCCGCCGCGGATGCTCCAGGCCGAGCCGGGGGTGCGCCCAGGTCGCTGGCGAGGCCGGTGCACGATGCCTGCGCTGGGTGCTGGCGAAGAGCACTCTCTTCGCCAACACGGGGCAAGCCCGCGCGAGCAGTCGCGGCCGCCCAGGCGTCATGAGGAGCCCCTTCTGCGCTGGCGACGCGCGCATGCTGTCGCCGCCAGCTCTCCAGGTCATCATCCAGGTCCACTGTGCCAGCGGTCCGCGACTGCCGGCGCCCGCTGCGAGACGTGGAGCGGCCCTCCGATGACTCATCCTCGTGTGAATGTCGGGGGGCCCTGCGCGGGCGGCCGTCAGCAGAGCGAGAGCCAGCAGCACTGCCCGCACCGCCTTTGCCCCCCTTGCCAGTGCTCGCCACCCGCTCTTGTGAGGGGAACGTGGGGGCCGCCTCCAGTTCATCTGCGAGACGTTGCTTGTCCGCCTCGGTCGGCAGTCCCATGAGAGGAGGGGCTGGGCGTTCGGGCGGCCAGGAACGGGAAACGCCTCCGTTTACCCGACCGCGCGAGCGCGGTTCGCTTCAAGACACTGCCAGATCACAAGGATCTCGCCCGCCGCGGACTAGCGGTATCCACTTGGTCCTCTGGGGAACTTTGGACCTTGAGCCAAAATGGCTTGAGCCAAAATGGCTACGGAGGAGGAGAAGGAGGGAGGAGGAGGAGGAGGAGGAGGAGAGAAGAGGAGGAGGGGGAGGAGGAGGCGGGGATTGCGCGGAAAGGGGCGCTGCGCGGTCGATGGACTTCGGCCCGCGTGCCCTCGGGGGGCCGAGGATGGGCGCGCACGCACGCACACGCCGGCCTCTGCTTTTGGGCGAGGGCTCCGGGGAAGCCTTGGAGGGCCCAAGGGGCCTTCTGGGGGCGTCCAGGGATTTCGAGGGGGAGGGGGCTCTGGGCGCCTCCACGGGCCTCAAGAGTCTTCCGGGGACATCCAAGGACCTCGATCTGGGGCGGAAGCGCAGCTTACCACGCGCGGTGACTCCTCCCCCTGTTTTCTTCTACTCCTCCTCCCCCCGTCGCCCCGAAAGGCCTCAAGATGGCGTCAAGGTGGCCCGTGAAGGCTCCAACATGGATCTTCGCAGGGCCCCCGAGAGACGAACGCTCGTTAAGATCGCGAGGTCAAAACACTACTCACAGTTCGATTCCAGATGGCTCCAACGAAGACCCCAGAGGCTACTGAAAGGGCCCAGGGGGGGGGGAAAGAGAGCGAGAGAGAGAGAGAGAGAACAAACAAAAGAAAACAATAGACAGAAAGAGAGGGGGAGAGAGAGAGAGAGCGCGAGACACACACACACACACACACACACCACACACACCAGACACACACACACACACACACACACGCACGCACGCACGCACGCACGCACGCACCCACGCACGCACGCACGCACGCACGCACGCACGTACGCACACACAGACAAAACACACAACACACAACACACAACACACTCAACACACAACACACACAACACGCGCACGCAACACACACACACAACACACACACAACACACACAACACACAACGCACAACGCACAACACACACACAACACACACATAAGACAACACACACAACACAACACACACAACACACACAGCACACAACACGCAACACACACAACACACACACACACGCACACGCAGCATACACAACACACACCACACAACACACACATACAACACACACAACACAATCAACACACACGCACACGCAAACGCACACGCGCACGCGCACGCGCACGCGCACGCGCACGCCCACGTCCACGCCCACGCCCACGACCACTCACACGCACACGCACACGCACACGCGCACGCACACGCGCACGCACACGCACACGCGCACGCACAGGCACACAGGCACACGCACAGGCACAGGCACAGCAACTGGGATGCGAACGTCGCTGGCGAGAAGTGCAGCTTCCAAGGGCCGCAGGACCATATGCGCTGCTGCCGCATCCGCCCCGCCTACTACAACAAGAGGAACGTCACAGGCTGACGAAGTTCAAGCTGCATGCTTTCGGCGCAACTCCAGGTTTCGCAAATCAACTGGAACGAGAACGTGGTTGGCACGGTGCTGTAGGCGGTGTGCGAAAGCCTCCACGCGCTGGGCGGCACCTACAAGCCAGGCGGCTCGCCCAAGAGCGGCCTGGGGGGGGAGGCGGACCGGTTGCCGAGTAAGCGCGGCATGAAGAAGGCGGACGGCGAGATTGGCAGCGAAGAGTCCATGCACACGCAAGGCTGAGTCAGGCTAGTGGGTCAGAACGAGCGGTCCGCATGGCACCGCACGGGCAGATGCAGGACCAAGGGCGAAAAGCGCCCCATTGCGCACGACCGCCCCTGTTCTCCTCTACGTGGCCTCCTCTGGTCAATAATTCTCTCTATGTCCCACCATTGTAACTAACCCTATCGTTTGTTGATTTGGCAGCGCGTGCCTCGAAGGTCCGCTCTGTGCCGTTGCGAGATTCGCAAGTGTCAATCGTTTGCTGCCAATGATATGGAACATGCTCGTCTTGTGTCGGCAACTGCTGCCATCAGTGAAATTGCAAAGCATCCAGTTCCGCAGGGTCCTTCGAGCGATGATGGCCGTTGGAGCGGTGGCCAGTCATCACTAGCTGTCCATTCTCTGTCGGAACTCACATGGACATTTTGCTCATGTGCGCCTTGCCCCGGTCTGGCAACATTGCCGTTCAATTGCGTAATATCCTTGAAAGGTTCATTGTGTTTTCGTCGCCTCCCTTGTGCTCTGCAATGTGATGGTGCCTCGCCGAGACATCTGAAGTTGCCCTAACAGAAACTCTCAGACTTGGCCTGAAGAGCCCCCCCCCAGGACGATCGATGAAGGGTACTTACCTGTAAGCACTGGACACCTCTCCACTCCAGCCTGCGCTTCTTTGAACAGGGAGATCTCGAAGACTCCTATTTTACCCCTTCGTCATTATTCTATGTGCGCCTCGTCCTCCTTCAACATGCTCCTCCTTCTCCTCATCCTGGTCCTCTCTCCCTCTTCCTCTCCTCCTCCTCCTCCTCCTCCTCCTCCTCCTCCTGGTCCTTCCTCCTCTGTCATCACTCCTCGCTCCCTCCTCGCTCCCCCTTGTCTCCTCTTCTCTTCTCTATCCTCTTCTCTTCTCTTTCCTCTCTTGTACCTGCTGGCTCCTCCCTCTCCTCTCTCTTCTCCGTCCTCCTCTTTTTCCTTTCTCCAACTCCCCTGCTCCTCATCCTTCCAATAAAGACCCAAGCGGGCGGCCCTTAGGAGGCCCTTGAAACCAACGGGAGTTGAGCCAACGGCCATCTTGGACCCGTCTCAACGCCTTTCGGGATCGCCCTGAAACGAGAATTCTCAAATAACGCGCTGAAGAACCGTCCCTTCGGAAATGCCAAAAGAAACCAAAGAGCGCCCTGAGGTGTCCCAAGAGCCTGCGGCAGTTGAGCTCGGGGCGCTCTTGGACCGTCTTGGGGCATGTCAAAGGCGCCCGCAACAACAGTTCTCAGACCACATGTTGGACTACTGTCCTGTCCTGCCGTAGATTCCAAGAAAGGCTCAGCATCATCCTCCTCGTCATCTTCCCCTCAATCACATCACATGGCAACCGTCTTGACGGCCCCAACCCCCTCCTCCTCCCGCCTCCGTTCTGCCGCGGCATCGGGCACCGCCGCAGCGATTCCGGTGGGCGCTCGACGAAGTTGGCGCACGCGACTGTCCCCCCACCCCTCCTGCTTCGCATACTCCCTCGTCCTCTGGGCCCTTGATTCGCTCGCCTTCCGGGCCCACTCCCGTCGCTCGTGCGGCCTGGCATGAGAGGCGCCGCTCTCCTCCCTCCTCCTCCGCGGCCGCCCTCTTCTGTCTCCTGTCTGCTTGTGTACAATTCGCCCAGCGGCCCCGCTGAGGCTACCGACGCCGTGCGCGATCGCCACCGCTGCGACAAAACACTGGTTGGGAGGAGTCAGGGCTTGACGCTAACCAACGTCCAAATAAGATCACTCGTCGTACACGTCCTCCTGCCTCTGGGCAGCCTGCCCTTGCCTCCCCCTGGCCTCTCCTCGAAGGCTGCCGCGTCAAAGAACCCCTGCGACGGGCGGATCACCAAGGCAGCGAACAGCGCGGCGACGAGGCGGGGCGTGAAGCTGAAGGGGCTCATGATCTTCTGGGTCCGCCGCTCCGGCGCCAGCCAGATTCCCGATAGACGCGCTGTTTTGTTCGGTGCGCTTTGCTTGGAGGGAGAGAAAGCAGCGAAGACCATGACCAAGACTGAACGAGGAAACGACGTCGGTGTCGATCTTGGCCATCGTGCCTATTGGTCATCGAGAATTCGTGGACAATCCTCGCGATTCGGCGACGACCAGCATGGACCATGACCGATATCGGCGTCGACAAGATCTAGTGACATCTCTGTCATGGCCATAGTTTTCTCCCCTCCAGTTTTGGACGCTCGAAATGTGCACGATGAAAATGCGGACGATGCCCAACAACAAATATTGTCCAAAACCGACAACGGCCGCTGTTGGGCAAGCGGCCTTCCGTCTCAAATGGACAACGACCGCGGCGACGCCGACAACGAACCCTGTTCAGAGTGAGCAAGAACTGCTGTTTGACTTTGTACCCATTGTTTTTCGCACCCATGCCGACCGTCCCGACGAGTGCTCAGAAGCTCTCGGCCCTATTTCTTGCGCAGGGTTCGCGCCGCAGGCCGCCGCGCCGCGTGGTGTCCTTCTGGCTTCGCGGCACGCCTCCCCGGGGCGAGGGCTCGCGGAGAGCCCGCCGTGCCTGTGGGGACCCGCCGCGGGTCTGGGTCGCGGGGCCCGGAGGCGCCAAGGGCATGCCGACAGCGAAGACCCTCACACGAGGGTCGGCGCCTCTCCTCCCCAACCAGGGCGTTCCCGAAAATACTCCTCAGTTCTGCGCCGAGGCAGTTCTCCTCTTCCTCCTCCCTCCTCCACCTCCCCCCCCTCTTCCCACTCTCCTCGGAGTATCGCAGGCCTGTGCGCAGACCTCCTGAAGACATCATATGCGGACGTAGAAGCGCGGCCGAACACATAATCACCCGACTGCCCACAATGAGCCCAGCGAAACCCCTGACTCAGCAAGAGCAGCGCATTCTGCCACGATTTTCGTAAGTCGAAGGTTGCGGGGCTACTGCGGAGACCCTGCGAACAACTTTCTGTCCAGCGGCTTCCTTCGGGATATCTCTGGACCTCGATCGGTGCGTCTGGAATCAATCCTCCAGGATAAAGTCAGGCGGTGCAACCAATGCTACGCAGCTTCTCGAATCTTGCACAAGAGGTTAGATCGTACAGTAGGCTTGCTAGGATGTGTAAGTTCACCCTGTGCGCTTGAGAAGAAAATGCCGCAACAGGGGCAGGCCATCAGGAACTTGTCATGCTGAGGCATTACGATGATGTCTGTATTGTGCGCCAGGCTTCTTGGAGCCCAGCGCCAAGGTGGAGGCGAAGGATGATAAGGACTGGGGCGGACAGCGCCAGAGACGGAGACGAAGGATGATAAGGGCTAGCGCGGGGGAGCGACGAGGACAATGAGAAATGGGAAGGGGAAGGGCATGGACTATCCAGGGTAGACGATCTTCTTCATTCTCCTCCTCCTTATCCTCTTTCCTCCCCATCCCCTCCCTTCTTCTCCTTCTACCTCCCGCCTCCCCCTCATTCACTATTTCCCCTCGCCGTTGTTCTCCGTACTCTCCACCCCTACCCCTCCCTTTCATCCTTCCCTTCTTTCTCTCCCTCCTCCTTGTTCACCTCCTCCCTCCCTCTCATTCCCTCCCAGTCATCAAATTCCTTCTTGCACTTTCCCCCTCCCTTTTTCTTCTCGCCCCCTCCTCTTACTTCCCCCTCCCCTTTCTCGTCCACCTCTTCAACGTGTTCCTCCTCCCTCTCTCCCCTCCCGCACCTGATATTCAGCTGCCTGCGGCAAGTCCCACCACCGTGCCAGCCCAGCATATTCGGCGGCTCTCCTTCGAGGGGGCACCAGGGGCCGTACTTGCGAGGGATGAACATCATGATAGCGATGAGGATGAAGAGGGTGATGATGATGGCGATGATGCCGATGCTGATGATTATGCTGATGCTCATGCTGACGATGATGCTGATGTTGATGCTGCTGCTGCAGCTGGTCATGCTGATGATCGTTGCGAAATCGTGGGGGCCGCTCGGGGGCTTGGTCGAAGCAGTTTCGATGCCTCTTTGGGGCCGTCGGGCGGCTTTTTGGAGACCTCTCGGGGTCTCCTGGGGGCTCCTTCGGCCCAAGGAGGCACGTGAGGCCCCAGGAGACCCCGGGAGGCCGCAGGAGGCCACCAGGAGGCCACCAGGAGGCGCCAGGAGGCCCCCAAGAGGCCAGGATACCCTAGGATGCTCCAGGACGCCCCGGGAGGCCCCAGAAGACCCCCAGGATGCCCAGGAGGCACAGGACGCCCCGGGAGGCCCCAGAATACCCCCAGGATGCCCAGGAGGCACAGGAGGCCCCAGGAGGCTCCAGCGGGACCAAAAGGCTTCAGGAGGTCCCAGGAGGCCCCAGGAGGCTTCAGGAGGCCCAAGGAGGCCTCAGGAGGCCCCCAGAAGGCCCCAGGAGACCCCAGGAGGCACCAGGAGGGCACAGGCGGCCCCAGCTGTATTGATATGATTGCCATGTTATGGCATGTTGTTTGCCATAATGGTCCATGCTGTATTTGTGTGGCTGCCGACTTTTGCCAAGCTGTCTTGACATTAGTGATATGCTGTGGTCTTGGCGCGTCTGCTACCTTACACTATGTTTGTTTGATGCGGCTGGTACATGATGCAATGTTTGATTGACGCGTCTGCTATATTATGCCATGCTGTGATGGCATATCGCTGTCGTATACATGTTATCTCGATCATAAGATCACGCATGCAACGCTGTCTTGATATGATTTCTATCGTCTGTCATGTTGTCTTGAGTCGGTTACCTTCGTATGGCGTGTTGTCTTGATGCGATTGCCTTCGTGCGCCATATTCTCTTGCTTTGTTTGCTATCCAATGCCATGTTGTTTTGAACTGATTGCTTTGTTATGCCATGTTGTCTTGATGTGATTGCTTTGTTCCGTGCAATATCGGCCCCGAGAGGCCCACGGATTCTCCAAGAAACCCCAAGGAGGCCCCATAAGTCTCCAGGACGCCGCTGGGTTTCCAGGAGGGCCCGGGAACTCCCAGAATGCCCCATGTCGGGGATGGACAGACCCCCCTTTAGTAAAACGTGGTTTAGTGAAAACGACCTGAGGCCTAAACCTGGCGGGCGCAAGCCTGGAAAATGACGGCCACGGCGCCCTCTCGAGAACCGAAAACGGACAATTCACTAATCGACGTGTCACTGTTGGGGGTTCTGTCCACCCCCGACCATGATGCCCCGTGAAAGCGCAAGGAGGCCCCAGGAGCCCCAGGAAACTCCAGGGTGCTTCAAGAGCCCGTGGGCCCGCCGGAGGCTCCAGGACGCCTGTGGAGGCGCCAGCAGGATCCATGAGGCCCCAGGATGCCCGACTGTGGTGATGATGGCGATCATGAGCATCGCGAGGAAATCCTAGGACTGAAGGGGCCCCACGACACACAAATAAATAGACACAAATAAAAGGATTCCCCATATTTTCCCATATTTTCTGGGTTTACGTCTTCCCCCCCACTTCCCATATTTTCCCATATTTTCCTGGGAATCGACGATTAATTGTGTCTGTGTGTTTCTTTTCCTCCTGAAGGACAGACGCGCGGACCGCTTGAAACGGCGCTGCACGCAATGCAGCGCATTATAGCATATAGCATTCCACGATGGTAAGGCAAGTTAGCGTATTGCATACATGACGGAACGACTTCTGAATTACTTAGTTTCGTTGCCAGTGTCGTGAGCCCGTCCGTCATTTCACGTTCATTTTGCCGTCGGATGACATCGAGCATGTTTTGCACTTGCGTTTGTGCTGTGTGTAAGCAGAGCTTGAAGACCCCAGGGGGCTCAAGGATGCCCCAGGACGCGTGAAGATGCCACGGGAAGCCTCGGGAGCCCTATTGACCCTGGGGGGACCGAAGAAGCCTCATGAGGCACCGGGACACCCATGTGAGAAAATGCGAGCCTGCCCTAGGAAACCAAAGATGGCAACAGAAGGCGACAGGATCCCCCAGGAGGCCTCAGGAGGCTCAAGCCCCCGGGAGCCTCCAGGGGGCGCCATGGGCTCCCAGGAAGCCCTGCGAACGCTCAGGAAGCCCTAGGAGGCTTGAGGAGGCTGCAGAAGGCTTCGGGAGGCTCCAGGAGGCTCGCACTTCTTCCCACTGCTCCTCCTCTTCCTCTCCTTTATCCTCTACTTTATCATGTACTTCCTCACTTCTTCCCGCTCCTCCTCACCCCTATCCCTCACAATCAGCGGTATCAGCGTCGTTCGCATGTACTGCATGGCGCAGTACTCATTGCAAGGCCATGGAGAGCAAGTGATCATGAGCAGTAACTATGGCTACTTCGGCGCAAGTCCATCGCATTGCAGCTCTAAACGTATTGCGCCGATCCCCAGTTTTCAATGCAGCTTACCGCTTGGGCCCCTGCGCGCAGCATGGTGGTATCACGCCTTCTCTTGGTGCGCCTCGCCGTCACCAACGCTGTGCCGAATGGTCCTTCGAAACCAACAACCCTTTCAGAACTAAACCGACCGGCTGCTCTCACGGAGTTGGGAGCGTATGTGTTGTTGGTGAAGATACGCAAGAGGAAGGGCCCGCGGAACAATCGCAAGACGCGATTGTTGATGCAGACGCCAGTGATCATGAGGGCGATGCTGGCGACACGCACGTCCTCGAAGCAGGCGCGACAGGGTTCTCCCACATCGAGATAGGGAGGCGCCCAGTCATGCCGGCAGATGTTGACGTGCAGACAGCAGTGCGCGAATCACTGAAGATGCGGGCAGGGTGGGCAAGACAGTGGAGCGCACAAGCCGACGAACTGCAAGCCGCCTTGTCCAAGAGCTGCCCTGCTGAGCCTGGTGCCCCAATTGACCAGACTACACCTGCAGACGGCCAGTGCCAGTTTCACGCGTGCGTGCAAAGAGGGCTCTTCACAGAAGAAAACGTCCCATGTCAATGGCTCTGTCCATGGCTTCGGAGGAACAGATCGCCATAGCAGCCGCGGGCGCAGGCGACAAGGGCATGACGCCCGCAGAGTAACAAGATGTGCACTTCCGAGTGGGGCGATCAAATGATGATACTTGGTCTGGCCAAGTGCTTCCAGTAGGACATGGCTGTTGTCCACCCTGGGCAAGGCAAGACATTCACGGCAGACGGGCGTGAGTTGAGGGGCATTTCCGCGAGCGCCATCTGGATTGCCCACCACAGCAAGTTGCACTACTACGGCGTCGTCAGGCAAGCCTCAGCTGGCGGGGCCACTGGTAGGGGGCCACATGCGAACCCTACCCCTA